AGAACTGCAGAGTGACAGATCACTATGTCCTCTGTCCTTACAGTCCTTAGAAAGACACCTACCCCCTCTGACTTCTTTGTAATCAAAGAAACATTCAGAGAAAAAGAAACCTAAGGGTGAATGAATCCTCTGGTTAAGATCTGGATTCAAGTTTTACATGTTCCTTGGAGTAGGTTAGAAGAAGAAGATTACTGTGATATGGCCACAATGATAAAGAGCATGTGAAATGACTTTGTGACCCCTGTGTGTGTGTGTGTACCTCCAAAAAAGGTACTCACAACAACTTAGTATTGGAACATGGCAAGAAAAAAGATTCACCACCATAACAAGGATTTGGCTTCTGCTCCCAGCTTACTCTTAAACTGGGCTTTCATTGGAATCAGCATCAATGCTGTTCCAGAATAATTACTAAAACACTATGGAAAAGGTATCTATGTTCATGATTCCTGTCACTACAGTATTGCCACCACTCTTCCAAGTAGCAGGAAGGATTCTGATTCTGAGACAAGTTTATCCAGTGAGTACCTTCTTGTAGTAAAGCATATTCAGCTTGCAAAGTGATAAAAGGTCAACTGTATCATCCTGAGGAAGAAGGTGCAAGGACAGAGTCCAGTATCAATAGTACAGAACTGAAATTCAATTTCAATTTCAATATTTTGTATTGAAATTCAGTTTCAATATGGAATGATGAGAAGGTCTTTGCTTGTCAATGGCCATAGGATCCACCAGTGTGGATGCCCAGGCAGATTTGACTGAAAAAAGGATTGCTTTAAACCTCTGACAAGCATCCAAGGAAATCTGCAGAGCTGACTCAATGGATGTCAATACTAGAGGGTATTTTTAAAATTGGCACTATTAGGGAAAAAAAACCAAAAAACAAACCAAAAAACAAAAGAAAAAGGGCAAAACAGAGAGGAGAAAATAACTTGCTGTGCTAGAGCCAAGGATGCTGAGGGCTGAAGAGATGGCCCAAGTTTGTTCTTTGGTGTCACTTGCATTCTAAGCTGCAATACAGAGGCTATGTCAGGCATTCATTACTCAATATAAAGGCAAGGAGATCCCTCAGTCCCCAGGCAGTAGTGTCTGGCAGTGCCAGACGTGAACAGAAAAAGATACCCCTTTGGGTACTTTGAGAGAGGACCCAAGCCAGTCTTAGCATCTTCAACTGTGAGAATGTAGCTCCACCATGAAGCATAAAGTTGTCAGTGTTCAGAAACCACACGATCCTGGAGTTTCAATTACAAACCTCACTACCAGCAGCAAAGTAAAATAACAGCAAGCTGTATACTTCACTATCCAAGTGAGCTTTGCTCTGAGAGAAGGCAATGCAGTGTCAGACTCAAGTATAATCACTAGTTAGGAAATGCATCTCAAAGCCCTTATGAAGCTCTAGCCTCCTGTATCACATCTGAGGCACTCTCTGATATCATTAGCATGACAAATTATTGTTAATTCGATTCTGCCTAAACCCAATGTGAGTTCTGCTTTCTCTTTAGCACAGGAGTAAGGACTTTCAAGGGAATATGCGATGCATGCTTTGCTTGAGCACAGGCAATGACATCAACTCTTACATGATACTGTTTGCATACTCTGTACTGAGCACTACAATTGATCCTTATATTTCAATGTTTCTGTAGCCAAGGAAATATTTTCTTTAATGCTAAGAAACCAGCAAAAAGTTCTAATTTAGGAAATCTGTCCAGCAGCTGAAATTGAGCTGTTTATCATGCTGCTACTTCTCTTCGTCCTCTTTTGGGATCACTGGTGCTGAGCTGGAAGCAGAGCCAGGTTCTTTTCCTCGCCAATAGGAATAAAGTCAGGCTGCTGCCAACACGATAGGGAGGTGGCTGTACAGCATAAAGCATGCCAGGCAGGCTTTTATAACACTTCCTCCCTTATCTTCAGCATGGCTCATAAGGCAACCAGCAGTTACTATGATACCCCTGCACACAATGACCCCCACGGCCCCAGATTAATGCAGGCAGATCACGACTCTTGCAAATCATGAAGTGCTAAAGCTGAAGGCAATGCTGGCCAGAGGCAGCGCCATTTAACTACACTAGTCCTGCTCCTGTAACCACCTCAATTGTAATCCTCATTATTCTGGAAAAGATTGTTCTCTGGTAGCAGGCATTGGTTTTGTTCCATTGTGTACCAGTGAAAAACAGATGCCAGCTAGGAAGCTAGATTATCTATTTTTATACATTTAGGTCAATTGTCCTTTGAATTGACATATCTAAAGAACAAGAAAATAGGATATTTTTTTTTTTCTATTCCAAATTCAGCTCTCAGTATCTTTCTGTTTTAATTTTAATTTTTATATTGCCTTATTGTGATTTAAGAATATGAAATAGTGAGAAGAGGTTATGCAGAATGTGCCAAATTCCAGGATGAAAAGGTCCACCATGGTTTTTTTGTGCTTTTTCAAGGTAAATGGTTATCACAGTGCTACATCTTCCTGGTCACAGATTATACATTTAGTGTAGTACCAGTTACAGAGGACTGATGGAACCTGGCTATCTACTGCAGGACTGAATATTTAAATACAGCACAAGAACTGGTTCCAACACAAACACTGGGAAAAGAAAGACCGGGCTGGTGCAGTTGCTGACAAGTACTGGAACAACTTAGCTCATGCTCAGATTTCAGAAATGCAATTAATTAATCACTACTAAGTATCCTAAAATCAAGTCAGCCATATCCCAGCTAATAGTCCACAATATAATGTTCACAGCACGTAAGTATCAGGCAGTGAAGATGCTCATTACAGTGCCAGAAATAATATTTCCAGCAAAACATTATATATAAAGATGAAGTAATTATATGGCATGGCAACAAAAAGAGCTGTATAGATTACAGCTGAGCTGAAAATCTGTAAGAATCTATTTCCAAAAAATACTATCCAAAGCTGGAGACATATAAGCAATAAAAGATTAAGCATATTTCTTCACTTCTTATCACTGAGGGATATATTTTGCCTTTGGTACATGTGTCAAATACACACAAACCATATATAATTACATTGCAACCAAGACAGCAGACAAAAATGCACTAATGGAAAACAACATCCTTTTGTTCGTCTTCAGGAGAGGGCAGTTTGTAAAACACTGCTTGTAATACATGTTAAAAATATCACAAAAAACCTTTAAGATCACAACTTTACAAGCTGCCTATTCTCTTAGCTATATACAATGGAGAAATGGAAATCAGAAATTAGACTCACATTTAAATAAGTGCAGTTGGAAAAGTACCTTAAATAAATAAAGAACTCCAAAGCCAAAACCCACAGTGACTTCAGTAGAGGGCAAGAACTGACCATTATGACACAAAATGAAAAAATGCAGCGGCATATTTGCTTGTATTTACACCATGTTACAGGACTTAAAGTGTCATTGAAAATCCATTCAAATTAACAACTCCACAGTCATCACTTTTGCAGACAGTAATGAACCTTAAGTGAACCTGTGTGGGCGTATTCAAAACTGCTTTGTTTTTGGCGTACCTTTGTAACTCTGAACTAGATATTATAATGGCTATTGACTTACTCAAACTTAGATTATTAGGCTAGATTTTCAGCTGGTTGAACTGGCATCATTCCAATGATGTCCATTTACACCAAATGGCTCATTATTAATTCAAGGTTTTATTTGCTCCTTAATGAATACTTCCACTAGTCACCTTCCCAACGGCAGCTTTAAATGCTCAAACTTTACCTCCATGGTCAGAATCACCATACTCAAGAACTTAGTTATCAAAAAAATAATGCTTTTTCTCTCCTTTTATGAGGCATACTTAAGGTAAAATTTTTTTAATCATTTACAAAACAAACTAAAATACCTCCTGTGCCATAATTAACTAACTAGAATTATGCTTTCATACAGCATCATTTGCATATAAATATAAAAATTTTACAACCCTAAGGGGACATTACGGATGAAACAAAATAAGAATGGAATTAAACAGCCAAAAGGACAACACAGCTTTCCATAACAAGCCTGCTTTACAGCCTCGTCCTTTTTCTTACTTATTTCTGCCTGTACTAATTCATATATATTTTCCTTCTCTGCTATTTTAAGATACTACACAGATTTTTTTTCTGTTTGGCCTTTCCAATTCTATGATACTACTTCTGCATTTTGAAACAAAACAGGATGCAAACATGTCACTAAGCTTGTGCATCTTCCTTTAGTGTATCACAGAGGTCAGAAACACAATTAACAAAAAACACAACAGTCTTGTTTCCTCAACCAAGCAACATACAATTTTTCAAAAGGTTTTTAAAAAATTCAAAGTTTACAATTTTTCAAGAGATCTCATGACTTGCTTCAATAGAATAGTTCACTATCAAATATACAAAGGAGAGCAACCACTGATTTTCATTACTGATGTTACTAGATTAAGAAATTTAGTTTAAAAGCTTACAAAATATTTAGGAACTCAATGAAGCTGGAATATCTCAGTGAGAGCCTAAGGAACCATAATGGCAGGCTCAGTAAACCTGCTGAGACACGTGGGAGGTAAAAACTTTATTCTACACTGCTGCTGCATGGGAAAACACCCTCCAAACAGGCTATACAAAAACTTCTGTGCTCAGTGAGACCAACTGGTGTCCCACAAGGCTGGCATCTCGCTCGGAAACTTCTAGTAAACAGGTGTACTCAAATAACATGGGAGGAAATCAAAATGAAAATACTCTATTTAAAAATGTTTTCTAGCATTGGGGTCTTTTTATTCTGAGTACCTCTTAATGTAAACTTTCAACTAACTATCTCGACCCAAATGTTTTCAATTCGGTAGTGCCCAAAAACCCACAATTAGATACAATAAGAGTTACACAAAGAGTAGGAAATGGTTTTCACTGTGGAAAGCTTACAATAAACGTGAGGAACAAAGCTTCGTGATTAGGGGAGTATTGATTTTCCTTGACAGGTGAACAGGCCACTTAGCATGCTTTGATACCACCAAGAAATTGCCCATCAAATATACCCTAGCATACATACCTGGAATAAATTCCACTGACCATGTCGTGCTGCAAAGAGAGCTCTGCCGTACTGGGTCCAGCAGCTTTGGAAATAAGCAGTACGACCAAACCTCGCATCTGTAAATTGTTTCGGCTATCATAGACAAAACCCCTGAAACAGAAGAAAAAAAAAGACATATTTTCACAATCCATGTTCACTGGTTGTACCAAAGTGGAAACAAAGCCTTAGACCTCAGGCTGCCATCCATCCATCATGTCTTTAATATTCATGTTAGCAGGGAAATAAGTTGCAATTATGAATCATGATCTTCTGTCATCTTTTACCTGACACTTACAATGAAATCCTACTGCTGCAGAGAAAAACAAGTATTTAGGATTGAATTAAATCTTGATTATTTTCAAGGAGCAGCATGTCTCTTGCATTTCATGTCATGCACAAGTCAGGTGTAACCCAGTGAGCCTGGCAGCTCAGGATACCCCATGCTCACAGCAACCCTGAAAGTAGTAGAAGGGAGATTCTATCTAACTTCCCAAAGCAGAATTTTTTTTTTAGCTTAGCCCATCAGTACTTCCCAGCCACTCAGACCCATGAAAGATTGCACTGCTCAGATCTCTGCTCAAGGGCACATACACTGTGGTCACATGGCATGGACCTTTATTTTGTTTACTGGCTACAGGTAGTGAAGGATTTTAAGGAGGAGGGGGACAGCTGCTTGCCTTCAGCATTCTGTGAATCTGTAACCTGCATATTTCTATTCTCACCAAACACACAAGTATATAATGTGTTTTTTACCATGCTCCAATATACAGTTAACAGAATGCAGCCAAGGCAGTTATACACTTAAAACTCTATAGATTTCCAAAATCAGTCACAATGAACATTAAGCTACCCAGGAAAAAGACAGAAAATATATATAATGAATAATACATAGTGTGTATGCATCCTGGACACAGAATTCATAATTGTTTGTGGTGATGTAAGTACTTCTCTGGCTTGAACTCCAATTGACCACATTACTCACAACCACAGAAGTTATACAGATGATGCAACTGAATTAAAATATATTTCCTCAACACTATTTAAAACTCCATCATTTTTAAAGAAAAGTAGTTTTTGGAAAAAAATTGTTTTTTTCCATGTATGTATGTGGTAAAATCAGAGTGTATTACTAAAGGCAGAGATATAGTGAGAAATGAATAATGCTTTAATAAAATAGCAAATTATAGTGATACTCTGAACAATCAAAACACTGCTTTTTCACGCCCAGTGCTCTACAGCTTGTCAAGTGACAGGATGTTACAAAAATAGGCATAAAAAGTGTTCATCACAGGAACATGGAGCACTGGCCTCTAAATAAGCCACTGCCTGGACAGACACTAGAAGCAAAGCACTTTCTCCTGATTTGGACCAGGTAAGGAACAGAAGAAAATTACCTGTGTTGAAATACTCAGCGTGTAGCAATAGCAAAAGCAGTGTTATGGGAAGTTCAGGGGGTTTCCAACACCACTAGCAACGAATACCTTACGTTCTTAGCAGGAAACTGTAAATGAAAGGTGCAGCTGTGGGTGGGGGGAAGATCAGAACATAAAAATCAAGTAATAAGGAGCAGTATGTCTATCATTGCTACACCTAATCATACAGCCTCGACATTACATATGGTTTGGATGTAATTTTAGACAGGATTTCCTATGAATTACCAATCAGTAGTCAAAGTTTAACTCCATTTTCAAAACATGTTGTGTTACTGACATGTATCATATCCACACTAAAGCAAACCGCATTAGACTTGAAACAAATAAAGCCTCCGGTGATCATCCTTTAGACACCAGAAACTACTGCAGCTACTTGACATGGCTTCAGGGGTCACATTCACATTCTGAATTGAGCTCCCCAGAGATACCCTGCACAAGTAACAGCAACACAAAAGTCTTCCAGATTGTGCAATTAGTCTTGATGGGTATGTGGCAGGAGACAGGTGCCTCCAGGGAAAAAAGTGAACTAAGAGCAACCCAAGTGAAATTGCGCACACAGAAAAAGATACATCAAGCTGACAGTCTTTTGGAAAACCTCTGCTGAACAACACAAGCGCATGCATAGGGAACCCAAAAAAACCCCTCAATCATTAGCACAATTTTGCTTCCTCTTAAGTTTACAGGCTGGGTATCTGCAAATGACATACTTCATCCTCGGGGGACTGCATACCAGAAAAAGGTAGGAAAGTCAAACACCTCTAGGATTCCGTTTTGGAATTCAGAATTCGGGGGAGGGAAAGGCATTTACTCTAGATATTATCCGTGCGACAGAGTAACCCAGTTGAAAACTGGCAGATTCACAGTTTTAAATACAGCACAGTGTTCTCAACGAAGATTCCCAGGCCGGAGCGCAGGGGAGAAGCGCCTGGCTGCGACACATGCGCGGCGCGACAGCGCACACGCACAAGGGGCTCGCACCGCCCACGCCCCCAGTGACACCGGCTAATGGCTAATGCGCTGCGAATTACACCTCCCACCGCCAGCGCCCGCCTGCTGCACGGAATACAGCAAGCAAACCTTTCGCTCGGGGCTTTGTGCAGTGCTCCACATGTGCAGCTATTTCCGTAGAGCTGTTACACTTTTATTATAACAAAAATCTGCTATTCGTTGCAAGCGTCATTTGTATTTAGATATTTAAATACCACAAAGATTTTTAAATTATTTGCATGAGACAAAACCACGTTCCTAGCACTTTTTTCATTATATTAAACTGTGAATTTAAACAATAGAGAGGAAACATGGAAACTGTAACAGTTACCATAAGGAAAAGCTGGACACAGGGATAATTTCATGGTACCAAAAGGCAGCAAAAAACCCCCTGCACAGGCAACTATAAAGTCAACTGACTCTGCAAGAGGGTGTAGCAGAAGAGACCATACTCATGGGTAGTAGTGCTAATTCAAATTTAATTATGAAAAATGCAGAACGAATTTCCTAACAAAACTGATGTGATAAGGTATTTTGAGAGACAAAAAGGGGGTTTTAAATGTTTAGCTTATTATAAATGGATAATGAGATGATTGACTCTTGCAACAAAAAGACAACTATTGTGTGAATATTAGGAAAAGTTTTAGTGATGTACAGTTATGTTATTGTAGTTTAGATGTCCTCTGTTCTCCCCATGGTTCCCTTTCCCCCCGGTACTGTGACCATCAGACAACCTGGGTTGTCTCGGATAAGTAAAAAGAAGGCGTGCACGTGTCCCTTACCTGGGGCACGTTGGGAATGGCAAAGCTTGCTGCTTTGGGGGTGCGGCATGGCAACACCTGATCTCCAATCAAGTTACAAGAAAGCAGTCTCCAGCGGTAAATGGCAAAGAAGAGCCGACTGGCAGATTTTGGGAGGGGCCAGGGCTGGCTTATGCAACCCCCAGGGGTATAAAAGATGGAATATCCATCTTGAAGACGAACCAGCCACATGGTACGCACGAGGGGCAGCTCCTGGCACTGCAGCTTTTTCCTTCTGTAGTCTTTTGTTGTATTTTTGTTAAGGTTTAATAAACCTTTTTAAATTTTCAAAGTGACCAGTTGTTTCTCACAAGCTAAACGTTGTTAGTATTTCCCGAAAGTTCTGCTCATGACCCAAGCAAGCAGGAGCTGTGGGGCTTGCAGCCCTTTCATCAGTTACCCTACAGGAGCCCCTCCACCCCCACCCAGGCGTGTTTGATGGCCACAGGACTGGTAAGGGCTGGTAAGGGCTGAAGCAAACCGATCACTGCTCTCCTCACCTCCTCTGGTGATTTTTACCCTTCATTTCCATGCATTCTATAGAAGGTGTCCCATTGACAAGATCAATCGCTTTGTTTCAGGCCATACACAAGCCCCGTGTAGTTAACAAGGGGAAGGAAAACAGAGAGGAATTCCATTCCCCTACCTTCCCTGTTCAGCTGTCAAACAAAAGGAGGGGGAAAAAATGATCTGTCCACACAGCTCTAATGAAAAGCAGCTGGGAAAGTCTATAACACAACCAAAATCAATTACACTGATGAAGAAGATTTATAAGCACAGGACAGTGTCGTTGAAAGCCCAGGCTAGTTTTAGGCTGAATTACAAACTATTCTGAAAAAGAAACCCCTCAATTCAAACTGACAATCCCAGATGTGACAATATAAACAGAGTTTTCAGTCTGTAACATCTCAGGAAAGCACCTTCCATTTTGCTCAATATAGAAGGGTTATCAGGATGCACTCACAGTTACAGGTGCAGGTACCTTTTAAAAATAACACAACCCATTTTGTCGAAATTAATTATAACAGACAATTCTATAGCTATCACTAGAGGTAAGGCATGGAGCTACTTGGCAAGATTCTTGGCTTCCTTATTAGAAATGCAAGAAATACCAGCCTCAGGGCTTTTATCCAATTTGCTATATTAATGACTTGTCAGAAGTAAATAAGAGAAAACTCTTTGACATACTCATTTTTTAAATGGATGTTAAACCACTGTATTATTGATGTGCATATCTGAATTATAGGATTCACATCTGACCACATGATCACATTCAGATATGAATATATTTAAACACTGAGAGCATTCAAAGTTATACATTTGGTATATGCTAACAGCAATCTATAGCAACTTGTTTTCACCTGCTACTCAAGTTTCAAGTACTTATTAAATATCCCTTTGCATATCTCTTCAGAACACATTAAAAACCCTGACCCCTTCCAACTTCCACAGCTAGATCTGTAGAGGAGAATCAGCCTTGTCATGACATGTGCTTTGAGCATGATTCAGAAGGGGAAAGGAGACACACTTACTTCACATGGAGAGAACAGCATTAAAAAATGGGCTTCAAATTAAATACACAGCTGACAGGAAATTATAGAAGAGGGGATGCTCTGCCACCCACATGCCATCTCAACTCAAAAGCCCACTAGAGATTGCAGGTGAGAACATGTGTTTTAGAAACTTATTCTTGGGTTTGGACAACTAAACATCTCTTTGCATATGGAAAATGAGTATTGAGGTTTGGGAAATTTCCTTACCTGAAAAACAGGCTTGTGAAAAATGGGGCTCATCACCATTATGTAACTGACTGGTAATTAAAGAGTTTATCCAGCAAGGGCAGACCTGTCCAATGAGTCACAGCAGGCTTGGAGGAATTGATGTTCCTGTC